TCTGGAATTCAAAGATCAAATTTTTGTGTTTGTTTCTGGGAGGAAATCCTCTTGGCAAATAGCAGATCGGACCCCCTTTTTTGGGGGGGGGGCTTCTCCCCCACCCCAAAGCAGAGACGCTGTTAAAAGCAGTGGAGCCTTTGCCCGGGGGAGAGGGGATATGCACCCGGGGAGGGCTACGTGCAAACTCTCCGCCTGGTTTATTTGTAAAGGGCTTGTCTCTGTCTTTGCAAAAGGCTCCATTTTTTCCCCCTCTCTCGCAGCAGCCGCAAGAGTTGGACACTGACCTTTTTCCGTGCATGGCAAAGCACTTCAAACACCCTCCCCCTCCGGTCCCCCGGCAGCTAGAGAGGCCCTGGATAGTTCCAGGCACACACAGGCTATTCCCCATTCAAATCCTGAGTTTTGCTTGGGCTGATTCCCCCCCCCCCTTTCCCTCCCGGTGTATTTGGTTTTTAGAGGAACCCTCCTCATTTAGCAGTTTAAAGAAAGAACCCAGTAAAACTGACCACGTCGAGTGTGTGATTATTTCCCCCCACCACCCATATTGCTTACATGGTTGGGGTTCAGGGTCTATTGATTCTACAGGGCTGACTTGCAAATACAAATCTATATTGGGGGTGGGAGAAAAAAGCGAGGGGGGATGGATACGAATGCTGCCGCTAGAAATTCTCTAAGGAAGCCCTTAGAATTGCCTTTAGATTATTTTTTTTTTCTTTTTGGTTTACAAAACTCTGGGCTTTTTAGATCCGTCTTTTTGTTTGCCTTGTTTCTTGCTATGTCTGAATTTAACCTTTGTTACTCCTAGCTCTTTAAATGGAACTCCCTTCCCTGATTGCTGGTGTGTGTATGTGTGTGTCTCTATTCTGCCTCCACGCCATTTCCAGTTGTGTAAATTGTTGCGTGTGGTTTTCAAGCGGAGTGACTGATGTCTGATGTCCACCTACCCTCCAAAATATAAAAGCTTGGGACAGCTTGACTTGTCTGAAAATGGGGGTGGTAAGGGAGCGTATTTAAGCCTGTCATGTAACAACTTTTTTCCCCATCCCTCAGTCTCCATTTAGGCCAGGTGTCTGTCAAAAAAAAATTAAAAACCCTGTGCTTGCTAGAATCTAAATGACTTATTGCTGTTAATTAGTTATTACAGTAGCACCTAGAGACCTATTGTGCTAGGAGCTGTGTATGTCTGTGTGTGTGTGTATATATAATGAGGACCCATCCCTGCCCTGAAGAGCTTGATTTAAATGGACAAGACAGTATTGGAGGGGAAGCTGAGACTTGTCTGAGGTCAGGCAGCAGGTCTGTGACAGATCTGGGAATAGAACGCAGGTTTCTGCAGTCTCGGGCGTCTCCAGTGTTCGCCTGTGTTGCCTGTCAGTTTGCCTCACTAAGATCCATCTCATTAAAACAATGGGGTCAATATCGCAATCCAAAAAGAAATGGGAGAATTTAGGGTTCATGAAACTGAAGAACAAGTCGCGCTGTCTGGAGCCAAGCATGGAATAAGCCAGGCTCGCTTTCAACATCCCGCAACAGCCAAATCCTTTGCTCCCCAGCTTTATGGTCGCCCCCCACCGCATCTCCGTCCCGTGCTTGGTCTCGACTTGTCCTCTGCAAACTCAAAACCTTTGCTGGAGGTTGCTTCTTGAGAGGCAGAGGTCTGACGCAGGAAAGCGATTGTGTGTCAGGATTGCAGAGTTGTTACCGTGCTGCTTCGTGGCTAATATTAGTCCGTCCTGTTAATGAGACCACAAACTTCTAATCAGGGCAGCTGGTGGGAATATTAAATGGAATTTATTGACAGGCACATTCTCTTTAAGATTTGTTTTGGCAGTGCCTAGCACAACCGGGCCCTGATTCCCAATTAAGGCCCTTGGTTGTTACTGTAATATAAATAACTTACTGACCTGGAGGCTCTAGCAATTCAAATGACCATGGTGTTTGTCGTCTTTTCCTGTCCTCGACTGTAGCTTAGAGTTGCTGTGTGTAGTTAGAAAGCTGCTTCGAGCTGCTCCAGAGGTGGCTGCCCTACGCTGATAGACGTAATGATGCGTTCTGTATTTTAGTTTGTAAAGTGGCTTGGGGCCCTGGGGGACAAGGTGCCATTTAAAAAGTTGCTGTGATCTAGTAGAAATAGTTTATATTTAAGGTTCTACCAGCATCTTTGATTCATATTCCTAATTTCTGTGGTTTGGCTGTTCTTACAACTCGTAGCCATTTTTCTTTCACCAAAAGTTGAGCGGGTGCAGTTTTCCCCGAACTCAAATTATTTTAACTACAAGCTAGCGGTCTAAGGAGCTTGTTTAAAATCTGTTCTGACAGATATTTATTTCCCCTTGTATCTTCAACAGCAACAACAAAACTTTTTAGCATTCAAAAGGATACTTTCCAACGTTTTGTAATTGTGTGTGTGTGTATCTAATGAATAAACTGACGGTCCATGCACCCTTCAGAACTTGGAATGAAAGGAAATACAGTTTAGTGGCTAGGGCAGGGCTCTAAGAGTCACTGCAAGTCATTTGCTGTGTGATCCTAGGGAAGTCACTTCTCTCTGGGCCTCAGTTTTTGTATCTGTGAAATGGGGATAATATCCATTCAAGACGGTGGGGTTACAATTTAAGTAGGCCCTGGGGCCATCTTTCATTCTGCATTTCCATTCGTTCCATGGTTTCTGGTCCATGACTGTGCCTTGAGGCACCACGACAATACAAATGGCTTTAATTGTTCAAATTGTATTTTTTTTGGAGATCCCTGGGCTACTTCCCCACTGCCTCCTGTCGCTGGTGTGTGGATGGGTTGATTTCTGACACCATCGGGATGGTAGTATTCTGCACTGGTGCCAATGATGACAATAGACACAGGACAAACATCACACTCCCTTGTTTGGTGTCAGGGTGTGCATGTGTTGCTCTTTCTCTTGGAGCTTCAGCTCCGAGACTATGTGCGAATCTCAGATTTCTTTCTTTTTTTTTAAGTTTCTAGCCCTCATGGTTGCACCAACAAGATTGAAAACATGAATTCCAAAGGCTAAAAAAAATCAGAAGGCCCCAACCCTTATGTAGGTGTAAATCCCATGATTTTTGCGGGGCCTGACTCTCAGGTATTTGGACACCTCAGGCGGGTGACATCGGTACAGGCAAGACCAAAAGCCACTTTCTAACACTCACCAACGTGATCAATGTGGGCTATCGATGGAGTTCTCTGTTCTCTCCTGCGGCTCGCTCAACCGTGCCATAGCAACAAACAAATTCTGGGAGGGAGGAAATGGCTTCTCTTGCTTTAATGTGTGGGAAGACCGAAAGGGGAGGGGAACGGACACAGTGGGCAAAAAAAATACATTTAAAAACAAAAAGGCAAAGCAACCTGTCTATGCTAAAGGAGGATCTGCAGTGTCTCTTTAAAACCAGACAGCCGTCCCATTTTCCCCATGGCCTGATGCAGGGTGTCTTGCTCTATGAGAGGGAGATCAAGGCAGATTTCCCCCCCTGTTCTGGCTTTTGATTTCTTTTTTTCCCTCACCTGATGTAATTTTTAAACCACGGCAGTATACTTGCAAGAAAACCCCTCCCCTTCCCCCCCCCCCCACGCGTTGTTGATCTTCTGATTGTTCCTTAAATGGATTCAAGGTAAACTGAAACCAGTTGTCCACTCCAGGTCATTACGCCGTGTCTGTGCATGTGCTATGTGGCTAGGCAGCGTGACACAACAGAGCTGTCCATCGACTTGCAAAACCCTAACTGCCTGTTATGGCTTATTTTTAGCTGAATTCAACTGACACCATTTTTTTTTTCTTTTGAGCACCTGCTCTCGTGGGAAGTCAGTGGGGTTAGCAGCTGAAGTGCCAACGTGCTTGCTTCTAGCACATCAGACTTCTGAAACTATTTTTAAAATGAGTCCAGCAATGCCCGAGATCCAGGCCCCAGTGTGTCAGGTGCTGTACAGGCATGTCATAAGATCGTCTCTGAAGCACTTGCAGTCTAAAGGGACATGACGGCTAACGGGTGGGAGGGGAAGTGGCTTACCCAAAGTCACACAGTAGGTCAGCGGCTAATCTCTGGAATCCCTATCCACTAGACAACACTGCCTTGCATAGGGTGTGGTTTTAATTGGCTTCCACAGATATCACCAGGCCTTTGCCTCTGACTCTCATTTAATTCAAGGCCCCTTCTCCCTTACATTCTGATGTGGCTTTCAAGATCCACTAAATGGATCTGTTCTGGCTGGGGGTTCAGGAGGGAACCCCTTACTTAGAAAATATTTATTTTGACGCTACGTCCATCTCCATTAAGAAAATGATCCATGGAGGTCAAACGGCAGGTAGCCCGTGGCAACACCCCTTTCACTTGATGCACCGCAGCCAGGGATGAAAAGTGT